TATATATGGACTTTTTTTTTTCCTTAAATAGTTTCATTTTTTAATTAATATTCTCATAAAAATAACTGAACATTCAGCAGGGAATAAATATCAGCACTACCATTTTGGTAGATATTTTTCTGGACAGCTATGTACACAGTATGCCTATACCTTTCAGATAATGAGTGCCTTAGAAGAAGAATCAAACCTGAATTGCCTCACACCACATTAACTCATTGTCTTGACAGATTATAGTCCATACGGAGCCCATGGTGGCTGGGGAGGCTCTCCATATTCACCCCATCAAAACATACCTTCTCAGGGACACTTCAGTGAGAGGTACGAGTCTTTTTTAACTTGTACAGATCTTTAAAATTATTCAGCTTTTCTTTGTTTTGCTAATCAGTAACATTTCCACAAAATAAAAACTTCAAAATTTGTTTCATGCTGTCTTTCTCATGAAAGGGAGAGAGTTTCCATGGCAGAAGTGGCCAGTCACGGAAAGCCCCTTCCATCTGCTGAGAGAGAACAGCTACGACTAGAATTGCAACAACTGAACCATCAGATTAGCCAGCAGACCCAGCTACGTGGATTAGAGGTACCAGCCAATAGATACTTCTTTATTCCAGGGTTCTTGGAAACTGTAGACAAAGGAGCTTCTGAGGCACTCCCAGAACTCAGGAGGCTGAGGCAGAGGATGAAGAATACTGTGAGTTCAGAGCCAGCCTGAACTACATAATGAGACCCTATCTCCAAGAAAAAAAAGAAAGAGTTAACATAGGCCCGGTGTGCAGTCCTAGCACTGGGGATGCTGAGTCAGGAGCATCACCATGAGTTCAGGGCCAGCCTGAACTACATACATAGACCCTATCTCCAAAAAAAAAAAGTTAATATAAATGTCCATATCCATTCTCCAGATAATTTAGTACTAGGTTCAGTTCTGGGATAATGGGAAACAGAATTACTACCGCCTAAGGATAGAAAAGATTCCCTTTAGAAGTTTATTTTTATATTTCATTTTTATTTTTGGTACCAGGGATCAAACTCAGGTCCTTGCACTTGTGAGGCAGGCAGTGCCATCACTAAGCTAAATCCCCAGCCCTAGAAGTTTATTTTATATTTCCTGATGGCATAATTCTTTAGGGGGAGACAGTCTCATTTTGTAGTCCAGGCTGGCCTTGAGCTCACCATATAGGCCAGTCTGGTCTCAGATTCAAGGCAACCTTCCTGCCTCAGCCTCCTGAGCACTGGAATTACAGGTGTGCACCACCATGCTTGGCTCTATAAACAGTTTTTATCAACAGCTGCTTTTAGCTTTTGCAGGGTTGGCTTTTGTTTTTGTTTTTCCTTTTTCTTGTTTCCTTGTTGCTGAGAATTTTGGCTTAGCCAGGCATAGTAGCACACCTATAATCCCAGCACTTTGGGAGGCTCAGGCAAGAGGATTCCAAGTTCATGTCTAGCCTGGCGAATTTAGTAACTTTTTAAAATTCAAAATGAAAAAGATGATCATGAACATTGACTTTTTAAAAAATAGCCCCTGTATAAGAATAATAATACCTTTCATTTATATACTTCTTTAAGTTACTGTCACATATCTTATTTGGCCCGTACTGTGGCCCTGACTACTAGTCAGGTAGGCGGTACTGTCCCCCTTTTTCATTAAAGGATACAAGTTTCTGTAATAACAGAATGCTGCGCCAGGCGTAGTGGTGCAAAAGGGAAGCTGAGGCAAGAAGGATTGCCATGCATTCCAGGCCAGCCTGGGCTACTTAGTAAGTTCAAGGCCAGTATGTATGATAGAGCAAGACCCTGACTCAGGAGTAAACAATCAGTCAGTCAGTTGTGAAACAGTGTTATGCTTGCTTATGTTGGTCTTTAGTTCATCAACTTTTAAAATGTTTAGCTCTTCATTCCCATAAAGTGCATTACTCCTTAACCTTGAATTAAGGCTTTGAATTAAGGCTTTTTATTTTCACTGAAGGTGGGTGTTTTGGTTTTATTTTATTTTTGAGACCAAGAGTCTCACTACGTATTCACGATGGCCTTGAATTCACTATGTAGCCTAGGCCGACCTCAGAATGGCAGCAGTCCTCTTGCCTCAGCCTCCTGAGTGCTGAGCATACAGCTCCACCATAACGAGTATCAGCATTACAAAAAAAAAAATCAGTATTTGGAAGCTTACTGTATACGTCTCAAAATCCTTACCATTATTGAAGTTTTATTAAAATAGATTACAGGATTTCCTTAGGAGAAATTACCAAAAAAAGGGAGAAAGATCCATTACTGACTTTTTTCTTTGGTACTGGGGATATTGACTTTTTCAAGTAAGAAAATAAAAACAGCAATGTATATCTAAGGTGGAATAACTGTTCATCATATTTAAATCAGCTATATTTTGTTCTTTTTTATTCAAATGATACACAGAGATTTTGCCTTATAGTTGTGTTACTTTTATTGGGAATACTTGGGTGATAGTGCTTAAGTAGCTGTAGTCTGAAATGGGCCTGGTTATTTTCTGCATGGTGTGATGTGTGTTGAGTTGTGTATGTGCTTGGCTTTATGTACTAGGCTGTTAGTAACAGGCTGGTGTTGCAGAGGGAGCCAAACACCCTGGCAGGCCAGCCGCAGCCCCCACCACCACCTCCAAAATGGCCTGCAATGATCTCCAGTGAGCAGCTGAGCTTGGAACTGCACCAAGTGGAAAGGGAAATTGGGAAGCGAACCCGGGAGCTAAGTATGGTGAGTGTTGTGCTGGGAAAACGTGGAAGGTGAAATGAAGTCTGTGGGTTATGTTGGTGTTTTAGAGTTCTGGAGTCATCTGGAGTGCATCTCATGCTCTCTGATGAGTGATTAAGATTTAAAATAGTTCTTGCCAGGTGTGGTCCCAGCATTCGGAAGGCTGAGGCAGGAGGATTGCTGCAAGTTCTTGACCAGCCTGAGCTATACAGCAAGACCCTGTCTCAAAACAAAAAGTCCCTATGAAAATGGCCTCCCTCCCTGTGTTATCGTTCCTTTCATTCCTGTTTGGTTTGAATGCCCATCTTTCATAGAATTCTTGGTTAGCGTTTAAGGAAAACAGTGTAGTTAATTGGAAACTTTAAAATTTGTTTCTACTGATTAAAGAAGCAGGTAGGATAATGTTCACTGTGCAATAGTATCATATATTATATAAAGATACATTATTTGTTATAAAACTATGATTTGTAAATCAAGTTTGTTTGTATTATTTATTTGGTCCATTAGTAACATTAAATAGAAGATAACTGACTTTATTTTCTTCTCTTTTCAAAGGAGAACCAGTGTCCTCTGGACATGAAAAGCAAATTGAATACAAGTAAACAACCAGAAAATGGGCAACTAGAACCACAAAACAAGGTTCCAGCTGAAGACCTTACGTTGACATTCAGGTAAATAAAGAGCAAAGTAAAATAGGAAGAAAAGAGATAGATCCTTCTCAGCAGGGTAGGGGATCAGGAGATGGAGATGGGAAAGAGAGGGATAAGGGATGAAACAAAGAAATCGGGATGTCATGTATAGGTACCAGCTTCACACAGGAATGTAAGCATTGTGTACTACACACATGTACTAATAACCTTAAAAACATGCTGTTGTGGTGGTTCATGCCTGTAATCCCAAACTACTTGGGAGGTTGAGGTAGGTGTAATGTAAGTTCAAGGCCAACAATTAGACAAGACCTTGTCTCAAAATAAAAATTAACAGGGACTAGTGTGAGCTCTATGTTTGATCTGAGTATGCACGCGTGCGCGCACACACACAGAGAAAACATTATCTCAGAGTAGTCCTAGGGTTGAATTGTCTGTTGATTTCTAACAAAGTGTTCTTGTCATATTTTCTTTTTGTTTTTAAACTTATTTTAAATACACTTATTTAAAATTAAATAACTTATTTGAAATCTTATTTTAAATAAAAGTAGATGGGCACGGTGGCACATGCCTGTAATCCCAGCATTTGGTAGGCCGAGGCAGAAGAATTGCCTCATAGTTAGACCCTGTCCCAAATCAAACAAACAAACAAACAAAATTATAAAATAATACATGCTCAATGTAAAAAGAGCACTAAAATCTTTTTTAAGAAAAGCACACACATACCCTTATTTTTTCATGCTGGGATTGAGCCTGGGTCCCTCATACACACTTTCTGTACCACTGAGCTACATCCTCAGTACCTCCTGTTTTAAATATTTTATAAAAAATAAGTTGGAAGAAGGGCCGGGGATTTAGCTCAGCGATTCGGTGGCCAGCCTTGCAAGCGCAAGGACCCAAGTTCAATCCCTGGTGCCCAAAAAAAACCATTAAAAAAAAAAAAAAAGTTGGAAGAAATTGAAAATTTTAGAAACAAATTTAAAAATCACCTATAATTGCAGCACCCAGAGAATAAGTATTACTGACATCTTTCTTGTCTTTTTAAGTGTGGGGACATTTGGCAAAAAATTCCAACTCTTTTTTTTTTTAATGTTAACAGTGATGTACCAAATGGATCAGCCTTGACACAAGACGATATCAGCCTCCTGTCAAACAAGACCAGCTCTCTGAACCTATCAGAGGAACCCGAGGGAGGAGGGGATGACAGTGACTCCCAGAGATCAGGAGTTACTTCAAGTTCTGCTCCCTAAAATATGAGGAGTCCTGCTTTGATCTACTGCTCCTAATCATTTTATGGGGCACAGGGGTAAAAGAACAGATGACTTCTTAACTTTTTCTCTCAGAGCGGTCAGAGAAATCCAGGAAAAGCACCGAAGGCAATGTGCACAAACACCACTACTAAAAACAAACCCTGCACATAGTTCATATTAATGCATTTTTTTAATTTAAAGAAAAAGAAAATTAGCAGTATCTGCAAGCAATTCAGATTAAATTTGTTTTTGTTCTGTGAATGAACTTTATTTTAATAACTTTGGACGCCTTGGATCCAGGGCTTTAAAAAAAAAGAAGAAGATATTATATATACACTCTGTTTGATTAATTGTATGATCTTAATGAAGTAGGTTTTCTTGTACTTTGGTATTATTACATACCCAGTGTATAATTCCTTACCTCCAATCCTTCCTCTCACCACCACATAAACTAAACCAGAAAGAAAACACTGGCATTTCTGAGACTTCTGTGGTGCTTAGAGACAGTGGTAGACCAAGTGATTAGAAAATGTGCAGCAGACTAAATTTTTCAGAGCTGTTCTGTGGAATTCTTTCCTTTCTGGACCACTAACTTCAGGAATAGATTTTATGTTTTCCTTATGACATTGAAACTTTGAGTTCCTCATTTGCATGTTAAGGATCCTCTGCATTTTCTTAATGTAATCAAAAAAACCAATCTGTTGTTTACAGTGTTTGATTAGATTTATATTACATTTATTTTAGGAATGAACTGGAACTTGCTAGTATTGAAGATACACAGCTGGTATATTGTCTGTTGAACTCATGGTCGTAATAGGAAACTTGAAGTTTTGCTTTCTGAATTAAACTTGCTGAAATCCTAGGATAACTAACCATGTTTTAAAAACTAACACTTGATTTGAACTTAAAATTAAGAGGTGGGGATACATTATTTCAGAGAGTTTTTGTTTTCATTTTCAGAACTTAAAAGCATAAAATAAAATTTCTGTATACTGGAGCCCCTGGCTTTCAGAGATTTGGCAAATACAAATTGAGTCTTAAGGATAGTTTATTAGAATTGCTAGCATAAATAGGTAGTAAATACCTTACAGTCAGCTTTCATAAAATTGACTTTCTAGCATTTGAAAAGCTTCTTCTTAGCTGGATGTGGTTGCACCTACCTGTAAGCTCAGCACTCTGGGAGGCTGACACAATAACTGCAAGTTGGAGCCCAGCCTGAGGGACTTAGGGAGACTCTGTCTCAAAATAAAGGCAGAAAAAGAGGCTGGAAGATGGAACTCAGTACAGAGGCCCTAGATTATATCCCTAGTACCTTAAAAAAACAAAACAAGAAAAAACTTCTTCGTGAGAATGTTGAAGAGAGGAAGAATTATTATTATTATTATTATTTGGTTGTGCTGCACATATTCTGATGCCACAAGTCTATATTTAGCCCCTTTAAAACATTTACTGGGGATTGTTTTTTATAGTCACTCTTTCTCTCCATCCTATATTTGCCTTATATTTTCAATTCCCTTTCTGGATTATACTACTAAATCAGAAAGCACTGGTTATGTAATAAGTTACTGCATTGCTTTGGTTGGGTAAAGCAAACGTTTATATTTTTCTTGTTTCTTATATTCCTAACCCTTAACTCCTGCTGAGGTCGTAATAACCTCAGTCTAAGCTCCGTGTCCATCATATTAACTGAAACAATGGGGGTGGGTGGGAAGGGTAATACAGTCCTGCCATTGCCTACCAGTAGGAGAGTCCAAACAGAACACTCTTTTGAGTAGCAATTATTTAATTTGCCCAGTCAAGGCACCGTGTTTATATACTATTTCACATTGAATTTGATTATGCCCTACAGACCTGGCTGGTCAAGGATTTGATATACACATATTGGCTTGGGATTCGAGCTTTCTTTTTTATTTAAATAAAAATTTATATATATTATATATACATATATACATAGCTATATCTGTATATATATTGGGTATGTTTTACGGATTTCTTCACATGAGCGCAGCTGTTGCGATAAAAATGACTGATTGGGAGGTAAAAGCACTGAATGAAATTGAGGTGTTTTTCTCAGTTAAAATATACATTTTCCTTTTTTTTCACACATACATTTGCTTTTTTGGCCTTTTTTAGAAACTTAAACCCTCTTAATTTATACTTTAAATACTTTGTTGGGAGAAGGAAAGAAACTTCTGTTGTGTCTGACAGACTCTAAAAAAGTTTTCATTTCTCTGTGTAACTATAAAAGACAAAATATGTTACCTTCCATAGGCAGATTTGGTTAGACCTTCTTTCTTCTTTGAATATGTCAGATAATTTCTAAGTTTTATAAGCAGTTGGTTTACTTTGGAAGTTACAGTGATTGACTCTGGCATTGGGAAATAATTTATAGATACTGGGTTGGTTGAGATTCAGAAAAAATATAGTTACATTTTGAGTATGTATTGATTGCGACTCCTAATAACTCAAATTTTGTTATTTTTGTTCTTAATCCTCCAAATATGCTAGTGTCTTTCTTTAATTTCATTTAGGAGCCACATAATCTTTTAAATTGTAGTTTGAACTCTGTACCCCTTGAAGGCCCTGTACTGTAGTCACGGTCTTGCTGGGTAGGAGGAGTAGTGTACTCCCCTGTTACGCCTAATTCAGCTATTTTATATTGGTCGTTCAGCCTAATGCCTAATGAAAATTTCGTATAGCTTTTCTAGTACCCACCAACAGGCTTATGAATTCAGTAAAACCCCTGAACTTTGGGATTTGGTTTGTTTGGTTTTGAGCTTCCTTTTCCTTTTCTCATACACTTTGTGCTATGAGAAGCCAGTATGGATAAGTGGCTGATTGAGGCATAACTACTCGACTCTTTACCTGCTTTTTAAATCCAGATTCACAAAGCACTGATTTTTTTATTCTGGCTTTTAAATTTTATTAGTACCTTCAGAAACATTAAGACCTGAAACCAATTAGGTAATATAATTCTCTGCTTTCTTGTTGAAATATTAGTATCTTCTTAATAAAACTGTTTGCGGGGTCGGGGATTTAGCTCAGTGGTTCTGCTGCCTACCTCACAAGCACAAGGTCCCAAGTTCGACCCCCAGTACCAAAAAAATAAATAAAAATAAAACTGCTTTCTCCTGAATTCAAAAGCAAGACTTGGATATCTCATATGAACATGAGCACTTCTGAAAGGATTAAGGTAGGAGTAAAGAGCGTTATGGTCATTCTTATTTAGATAACACAGCCAGGGGTTTTATTATAGTGCGAAATGTAAATACTCTGGCTTACTCTGTTTTGAAGTCGCTAGGCAGGGGTAGAAGAACTGAGTTAATAAAATATCCAGACACTATTTCCTATCTCACATGTAGTTTTTTTGACTGATTTCTAGATACTGTCATAAGTGTAGTAACTGCCCTCTCTTGGATAATATAGAGCCAGAAGTGACCAAAGATCTATTCTTTATTATTTTTCTAATTATAACATAAGTTTGTAGTAATATTATTGATATGATAAGCATTATTCTTAATGTCAACTACAAGTACTCAGCTACTTAAAATGTATAAGAAAATTGTTTGGTATAACATTAATGTGAGCAATTCCTTTCTCCCATCTTATTTCCCTTCCTTTTTCCTATTTTTTTCCCATGTATTTATTCTTTTGCCTAAAATCAGAAAATTGGTAATATTCTTGTTTGCTACTTTGAGTATACAACTCCATCAGACTTTCCATGGGTCTTCAGTTTGGAGCTCAAAATTTGATTTCTTAGTTTTCCTGAAATAACTTCTTTTCCTAATCTTTTCCATTCCACAATTTTCCCTTGACTTACCCACTGCCCTTCCCAGTCTGTAACAGTGACAGTTTGCTGCCTCAAAACAGAGCATTCAAATGAATTCGCTTAGCCAATAACTTCTGTGAAGTTGCCTTTCCTAATGGTGTTATTACTCAGTGATGCACAAATGTGGTATTTGCCCTACTGGTAGGCAAACAAAGGTCTGGTTAAGAATGGTAACCTACTGTTTTCTTTAAAGGAGAGCCAAAGACTTGTGCTTTACTCTGTTTTGGTTTTGGGGGGAAATAGTAGCCATTTTGATTGTGAAACCTTTTAGCATCTGTGAGTTCATTGTACTGTTTAGATGTATCCAAAGTTAACTGTTCTAGTTGGCCTTATAAAATGAAAAAGTGATGAAAATTCATTTGTTTTTCTAATGAATGTCGTCTTTTACAATATTGTAAGTAACTTTCCCCACCTCCACTATTCTTTCTTTAATTTTTGAGATTATATTGTTATGATAGCATCTTTTGTGTTTTTATGTTTTTCACTTGTGCCTAAAGGATGATATACTATGAGTATGGTTAGGTGATGAGACTGGAAAATCTTAAGCATGTAGCCAGGGAGAAATAGTTAACTGTAATCAGTTTATATAGTGTGAGTTAAACTAGATTCTTTGCACTAAAGAAGATTCAGTTACTTATATACTCAGTGGTGATGGGTAGAAGTCTCATTATCTTCCACTTTCTTTTTGCTTGTTTTAAAGGCTTAAATAAAGGTTTTATGTATAAAATTATCTGTAAAAAAAACACCTGTAATGATGCTATTTCATGAACAAAAACAGCCGTTACTTTCTAGGCAAAATTAATAACCTGCTTAGAAATTAACTGCAGTTTTTATTTACATTTCTTAACCCTAAAAAGAGCCCAAGTATGTTGGAATTTTAATTGATGATACATGGTTACAGTAATGCAGACTGATCTACTCCTTGGGATTTAACTCGATGGTGCTGCACCCACCTTGCAAGTGCAAGGTCCTGAGTTTGATCCCCGGTACTGCAAAAGGAAGAAAAAAGAAAAGAAAAGAAAAATTAGAGCTACTAAACTGAAAATGAATTTTACTCTGAGTCTTAGGCATTGAACAAACAAGTGTTGTAGGAGAATTGCAAATAATATTTTTTTAATTTCTCAGTTCAGCATTTGTGAGCCATTTCAAAAACAGCTATTTTTTCAAAGGGCACTTACTATTATAGTTAATAACAAGATTTGGAATTTTAAGATTTTAATTTCTGGTTGCTGAAGATGTTTTCATAAATAATAGATTCTAGTTGATAAAGTAATACTAGCCATTAATATTTAAGAATATGGAACTGCCAATACCAGGAATAAGTAAAAAATGCCTTTTAATAGTAAGTGTGAACCCCGTGGGTGGGATATATGTTCATTACTGCACTGAACAGAGTGGATACAAGAGCCATTGGAAATCCTGTTATGATAAAGGCACTTAGCTCACCACTGGAATCCTTGATTTCATAGCCTTTATTTTCACAAGAAACTAAGGCACAATAACCCAAGATAGAGAACTTAAACCTCAAGACAATATAACATACAAAAATATGTATTAAAAAAGTTAAATCCTGTGGAATTTATTATCTTAAGGTATGTACTAGATAAGGTGACTTATTTTCTTCTATTAAGGTCCCCCTGTTTCTAGATGGTATTTCTGCTTGGTTTGTGCTGCTGCGGCTGCTGCTGCTTGAACAGAGCTCACAAGTCTTTGGCATCCACTTTAGGTTATACGCTCAGAGTCATCTTATAACTGGAAACTGTCAGGTGGTTCCCCACCCCAGTAAGAGTATAAAAGGGTCAAGAAAGGGATGGGCATAAATGTTGGGTGAGTAATTGGTTGGATTAGTGGAGAGGGTTTTTCTGCATTGTTTTTTGCCTGATTTTTTATTGGTTGCCATTCTTATACTATCTGGACCATCTCATAAAATATTTTTCTGATATAAAGGCATTTAAAGCTTTCGCTTCTTTTTTTTATATTCTATGTGCAGCTAAGAAACTAGCCTCAGAGTGATTTTTTTCCAGATGCCTCATACCCTTTTTCACCCTTTATCTTCTCCCCACCTTCTGGGAAGGAAAGGAACTTGAAAAAAATTTTTTCATTTTAGTCATTGCTAATGAGGCCTCATTATCTTACTTTATGACGACTCTGAGGCTTTTTCTAACGGGAACAATGACAAAAGTGAATTGGGGGGATCGGGGATGTAGCTCTGCGGCACAATGTGCCTGCCTCGCAAGCTCAAGGCCCTGAGTTTGATTCCCAGTAACAACAACAACAAAGTGAATTAAGGTAATGAATAAACCCGTCATCCACTTACGCATTTTCCAGTTGTGAGATTCCCCTCTGGTGTGTGGTCTCTTCCTCTTGCCATCTCCTGCCACCCTTTCCCTGATGATGGTCAACTGGTGTTTAGGATCATACCAGTCTCCCCGAGACATTCTGCAGTCACTATCACCTTTTTGGGTGGATTTTATTTTTACTTCGTTTTTAAAAAATAAAATAACTTTTTAGCATTGATGCATATTTGCTTGGGATAGAGCTTGTGTAATTTACCAATCGTATTGATTGTGCCCTGCAGAGGTATACTTAACAAAACAAAAATAATCTAGGTTAATAAAGGAGCCCATGAGATTTGAGTCAGGTTTATGTGACTTAGGAAAATAGAGTTTTGAATGGTGAAAATTCTCTTGTTCTTCTAAATCAGTGCCAGACAATATCATTTTTAAGGTTTTCTTGCATTCCTGTTTTTCTTACTGCCTCAACCCTCTGTTGTTTTCTTACTTGTCTCTATCCACCTCCTCAGAAATAAAAAATTATTGAGCCTTAAAATGACAACTGATTTTTTTTTGGCGGGGGGGCGGTGTTGAGACAGGGTCTCACTATGTAGTTGAGACTGACCTGGAACTCACTATGTAGCCCAGCCTGGTCTCAAACTCACAGCGATCCTCCTGCCTCAGCCTCCCAAGTGCTGGGATTACAGGCCTGCACCACCATGCCCAGCTTGACAACTGATTTTTAAATTGCTGAGCTTTGTGAAATTTTTTGTTTGTTTTGTTAAGTGAAGACAAATAGTGGTTTGGAATTTCACATGCTGTGAATAGTTTCTTAGTATCTGGCAAACTGTGAAATCTTACTTGAAGACTATCTTCTGAAAGTTCTTTTGAATAGGGGGCATACCCTGTTTAAAATGGACCATTTTTTCTCTTTTTAGATGTTTAATATTTAACCAGCCTTCAAAACAAATGTTCTGAGGAAAAAATAGTAATTAGGAGTGTATTTAGGGCAACAGAGTTCTGGGTCTGAGTAAGTTTTGTTTCACTTGTTGCAGATTTTTGAGAGGATTAAGGCCATCTTTTTAAATTTTGTATTATTTGTTTGCATGTTGTTTATATTAGAGATGCCACATTTTGTTAAAATGCTATTTCCTTTCTTTATTACCTTGGAATCTGACTCAGCCTCTTGTTGCTCCTACTTAGTGTTTAAGGCTCCTGTAAGTTGCAGATAAAAGGATTTATTTTAAGAAGTAGAAGGAGGTGATTCACCTTTTGGATTGTAAATATATGAAAGTATCTAAAGGTCTTTATCTGCTTTCTGTCAGCATTTATATTAAATGATAAATTAATGAGAAATGTACAGTCTTTTTTGAGTCTGCGCCATCTTATTCTAACCTTTTGGATTATTTTACACCTTTTCATAGAACTTTTTTTTAGATGAAAAGTAAGTGGCTGATTTGCACAAGTAAACACATACTGTCATAAGCAATTTCCTGTAGACATCATGGTAGTTAAGACAAAATACTTGTCTTTCTACTCTTACTAACTTCTAATTGTTTTGAGTTCCCTGCCCATTACTCATTCCTGGCAGTTGGAGGGTAAATGTAAGTTTACTGTCTTATAAAAACCAAACTCAATCAAAGGAGGGAGGGGATTTTTATAGATTTTAAAGGTATTTGTGCAAAAATCATATGTAATATGTGGGCTTTGTTGGGATCTTGATGCTAGCAAATACACACAGACTTATACAATTAAGTAAATGTGATTAAGCATTGAATATCAGTAATACCGAGGAGTGACATTTTTGTGCAGTGTGATAATAGCAATGTGATGAGATAAACAAATGTCCGTATTTTTAGAAGATGCACCAACACTAGCAGTGTCTAGAATTTCATTTAATTAAAATATTTTAAAGGAAAATAATAGGCATCATTGTAAGTGAAGGTTATAAGCCCCTCCTCCCAACAATTAGCAATTAGGTGTCCATTGGTCCCATATCTGACTTCAAGGTAAAGAGGTCACAGTAAAGTTCAGAGAGATTAAATGTTGTAGTCAACTCTGGATGATTATACAGTGTACAGTTGGAATTCCAAAACCAGACTGCTGTCTCTACCTCTCGCCTAGGTATGAACACATAACAGCTCCCCTTAGTGTAATTTTTTTTTTGTACTAGGTATCAAACTCGGGTCCTTGTGCTTGTGAGGCAGGCAGCGGAACCACTGAACTAAATCCCCGGCCTCCCCTCAGTGTAATCTTTATATGTCACAAACATAAACTGAAACGATGATGATGAGAAAACAGGGAAAAGGGATCCAGAGAGGGAAGGGGGGAGGTGGGTGGGGAGGGGAAGGGGAATAAAAAGCGTGTCAGGATGTGTTAGGTACATGTGCTCACACTCTAAGAATTAAACATGCATTCCAAAGATTCACAGCAGAAATTTTAAAACCATACCTGCTGTTGTTGCCACTTGCCTAGGCCATTCCTGCTCATGAATACAAGATAAAATCAAAATATACAGTGACTATTGCTTCCAGGTGCCAGGCCATGGGAAGGCAGGCTTGTAAAAACATTACCTTGTTTGCTCATCCATCTTATTCCCTGCATTCTGGCACCACGCAGTTTCTGGCTCTTCCCCAGAGTCAAAGTAACCATGAAAGGTGAACAATTTGAATCGGTTCAGGACATCAAGGTAGCCATACGAGCGAAACTAGAGATAATTCATGAAGGAGGACCTCAGAAAGTGGTCTGCTTCAGAAAGTGGCAAGAACTGTGTTTTCCAAGCATGGGCAGAGGGAAGTGTTTTTGAAAGGAATTAGTGACAGTATGTCTTTTACTGTAATGTATTTTTCATTTAAACATTCACTGTATATCCTGTAGTACATTACTTTATAAACTCAGCTGAAACTCACATAGACTAATAGGAATTTGGGTTTTGTTTGCATTAGTATTTCAGTCCAATCTGCAGTGATCAGTTAGTTTTCCACTTGATGGTTTATTCAATTAATGAGTACCACCATTATTTTAAAAACCTAACATTCAGAAACATCAGCTGGGGACTGAGGATTTAACTCAGTGATTCCTCTGCTTGCCTACAGAAGGACCCAAGTTCAATCCCTGGTACCAAAAAAAACCCCAGAAACAACAACAAAAAAATCAGCTGGACTAGATGTAGCACAATGGTGCCATGCCTGCCTAGCAAGTGCAGGGTCCTGAGTTTGATCCCAGTACCGGGGGGTGGGGGGGGCATATCAGTTACTCACTGAACAACCATTATAGTATACATAATAATGCAGAAGACAGAAAAATGCTATCTCGACCCTCAGGGAGCTCTCATGGATTTTGGCAAGTACATAATTTAAAATAGTTAAAAAATGACAAGACATTAAACAATTACCAGTTATTTAATCACATTATCCTCAAAGTAAATCAGGCGTGGGGGTGCTTGTCTGTAATCTTAGCACTCTTGGAGGCTGAGGCAGGAGGGTAACAAGATGGAATCCACACAGGAAAGCTTACTTTTGCCTAGCTGATCAGGCTTGCCTGAGGAAGTTGCCTTGAAGGTAAGACAGGAGGTGGGAGAGGGAGGGAGGGGACAATGGGGATGTTGGAGACCACTGTCTCCTAGTAAGAGGAGATATAGGAGCTGGGATAAAGTGCAGTGGTTGAGCGCGAAGCCATGGGCTCAGTCCCCAGTGATATATGTATGCACAACGCGCACACAGTTTATCACCTGCAGTCCCAGCACTTTGGGATGTTGAAGCAGGAGGATCACCAAGTTCAAGGCCAGCCTAGACAACACAGTAACCTAGCAAGGTCCTGTTTCAAAATAAAAAGTAAAATGAAAAAACACTGGGATATAGCATAATATGAAGTCTGTGGGTTCAGTACCCAGTACCACCAAAGAAAAAGCTTGGCCATGGGGAGTGCAGTGTGTAATTTGGGCTCAGGAGGCGGGCAGGTTGGTGAATGCGCTCACTGGCAGAGCTGCTTACCCAGCATGTAGGTAGCCTTTGATTTCAGTCATTTTATTTTTAAAAAATAAAAGGGCAAACGAATAGAGAAACTAGATTTATGCGTGTTTGTTCAGTTATTGAAGAGATGCTGTGACTCTCAGGCTTTAATGTCCGTGCAGTCCATGGTAAAGTACAACCAGCCGTCTAATGCTCCCAGGCAATGCTTTTCAATATGTTAAGTCTTTTTTTTTTTTGTACCTGGGATTGAACTAAGGTCCTTGTGCTTTCGAGGCAGGCACTGGAACCATTGAGCTAAATCCCCAGCCCTAAGTTAAAGAAGATAGTGTTCTGCCTATCAGAGGCCTTAATTTTAGTGAAGTGCTAAGGTGGATGACAATTAACACAGGGTGAAGGGGAAGTGGCGCACACCGGAAGTTTGAGCGCTGAGCGCACTCCACTGAGGAAGGAGGATCGTGGCAAGTACGAGGCGGTCTGAACTACAAAGCCAGACCCTCAAAAAACAAAGCAAAACAAAAAAGCTTGAAATCCTTCTACGCCACTTTGAGTCATTTAGCAATCCCTTAGCAATTAAAAGCCAGAGAAGATCTGAAGCCGGAGTGAGGGGTGGGGCGATGCGATTTTTTTCTGGTTTGAAGTGGAACAGGGCCTGAGACCAAAAGTCCAGGTAAGAATTTGTTGCAGTAGACAGAAGCAATGGTTGCTCCCTGTGCCTCGGCAGTGGGATGCAAAGGGTGGGAGTCCCTGAGACTAGGTAACCGTGGTAATGTGAGGACAGCTGTCACTAGCATGATGATCACTGCCGAACAGGCACACACATGGTTGCTGACCAAGTCGGCTGCTTCTTGGTCTCCTTAACCAAACACTGTCAGTTCCCATGTTCTCAGTTTAAAGGAGAAAAATGACTTGGACAGTATCAAAGCACTTGAGAATATTCAATTGCAAGGAAAACTTAGTTATATCAGTTTATCTACACCCTCCTGTCCTCCCAAATCCAAAAAATGTTCAGGTTGTTACCTAAACGTGCCCTCTACTTTCCCTGAGTCTCTGCATTTGGCCCTGTTTTGCAGCTGGACCTTGGAAACCTGGCAGACATCTAGACCTGTGGGCTGACCTGTTGCTCCCACCAGCATCCGCAGCGCTGGGATTTGGTCTCTAGCACCTTTCCCTGGTTAGCTGACCGGCCATAGCCTCCCAAGGTATCCCTGAAGCCTGGGCTTCTGTGAAGTTAGAACACCCTGTTGCCAGGCAGCACCTGCTTTCAGCACAGACCATTTGGGAAGGGCCTGAAGCCAACTATGGGTCCCAGTGATGTGACAATCAGCATGTAATTACTATCTGCAATTCCCAGATCCTCCCCTCCTCCTCACTCCTCAGATGGACGAGGCTAGTTTTGATCCAGTCAGCCTTGGAAGACATGGGCAAGAAGCACCAGATGCAACACTGGTCTGCACGTGTCAACTTT